TTTTTCTTTTTTTTTGTTGATAAAGTTGCTTTTGGATATCTTAATAACTAAAAAGCGTAAGACCAAACCGCAGAATAATCTGTCAACGGTATTTTGAGTAAAAAATTGATAAAATTGTCTATCTATAAGATAAAATAAAATATTAACATATTTGAGCAGGTATCTTCTACGCTTATTCAGTTTTTTCTCAGAGTCTAAATATTCATATTCCAAATATACCTCTTGTGTACTTCAATAAAAATTAGATTTAAATCTCTAAAATTATTACAAATTCAAAATTTTATTCGAGTTTTCATGAACACACACACACAAACAAAAAAAGAAGAAAAGAAAAAAAAGAAAAATAGGAATGCTTCTGGAAGACTATATACATTAAAAGAACAGTAAAACGAGACCAAAAATTATCAATTTAAAACAACTAAATTTATCTGTACCTTTGTTCGTTAATAACCACGATAAAATAATATGACACGATTAAGAGAAATTTTAACTCACGAAAATGCAACCACACGATGTTGACCAAAACAGCGGGTTTTTTTTTTTGTTTTTTTTGTTTTGTTTTGTTTTGTTTTTTTTTTGTTTTTTGTTTTGCTTAGATTATTTTACTATCTGCATGTTTATTTGGTCGTTTGTTTATTTATTCCTTCATTTTTTGTTCCTTAGTTCGTTCGTTCGTTCTTTCGTCCGTCCGTCCGTCCGTCCGTCCGTTCTTTCGTTCGTTCTTTCTTTTGTTCGCTTACTCGCTCGCTCGTTCGTTCGTTCGCTCGCTCGCCCGCTCGTTCGTTCTTTCGTTCGTCCGTCCGTCCGTTCATTCGTTTGCTTGTTGTTTATTCTTTCCTTTCAGTGGTTAGAACTTTCATTCGCTAGTTTGTTTGTTTTTCTTCGTTCAATTTTTTCTTATTTACCTGTTCTTTGGTTTTTTGTTCGTTTGTTTGTTTGTTTATTTTTGTTCTTTTTTCATCTACTTTTTGACTGAGAACTCATTTTTACTGCACAAAGTCCAAAAAACAAACGATGACGCTCTCAAAATTCCCCCAAATAAGGCAAAAAAAGCAAAACTCCTCATTCCTAAAACTCAAAGAAAACTTAAATCTTGTCTTAGAATGACATTAAATCGCTATTAAAACTTCAAAATAACTGATTTTCTTTCTTGACCTGAAGGGGATTTATATGTCGTCTCTCTATTTTCACAAGCATTATCAAAATGAAAACTCTAATCGGATCAATCGAATCGAACTCCCAGTTCGGATCCATCTTAAAGACGATATCAGAAGCGCAGACCTTTTTTTTAAGAAGATTTACTTACAGGAATGCTAGAAATGAGACGAGACAGAAATTATCTGGGGAAAATATTTGTTTTTCTAGATAATCTTTTTAAAATCGTTTTAGAACTCTGAAACACAAATAAACAATGCTTTTTTTAACCCCTAAGCTGTATGCTAAGAGAAAGAAGTCCTGGCTCCGCTAAGGCTGTTAATATCATTGCAACTTTGCCTTGATTACTGCGAACTTGGTATTTAGAGAAGATTTTGTTGTCATTCTTCAACTGCTTTTTCTTCCTTTTTGGAAATTTTTTTGGGGTTTTAAAATCTTCAAACAGAGATTAAATCGGGGGAAAAACGTTTACAGAGATTTGSTCGCGGAATTCTTCAGTTTTTCAGCTCTTTTTTGAGCAGAGTTCATGGAAAATCACTGGAATTTAGTTGAAAGAAATCTGCTCAGTTTCAATCTCCCAAAATAAAATCAATTTTTWAAAAAAAATCAAGACAGCAAACGAAAATGAATTCCGAATCTTATCTTCTGCGGAAATCCTTGGAGAAAAATATGACTAGCCAATAATCAGCCAGTGTCTTGGTTTAGAGCTTAGAAACGAGAAATAGTGCATCTTTGAAAGGTTATCTTAGATTTTTAATCAAACCTTAATCAGTAGACAAACATTAGACTAAGTTTATTGAATTAGGATCTGACGAAACTAAGGATGAAAGAAAGGGYATAGTTCTTAATCATGTTAGGTAATCTTACTAAGAGCTTCCTTGATTTAAAAATAGAAAGGCAAAGAATTTAAGAGAAAAAATATAAAGAAAGCCGGATTGCATGCGGGAGAGGAAGACAGAAGGAAGAAAGAAGGAAAGATAACAGGAAAAAAGGAGAAAGAAAAAGTGTGAAAATTTAAAGGCATGAATAAAACGGAAAGAGAGAGAAGAAAGGAAGGAAGAAAAGAAAAGAAAAAGAGAAAGAGGATGTTCTAGAGAGGAAAATAAGAAACGAAGAAATAAATAAAAGAAAGGATTGTTTAAAGAAGGAAATGAAATAAATTAACTTTTAATTGTGTAATTCCACAAAACTGGTTAAAAAAATATTTCAAATTTGATCGTAACATTAAAAATTTCATTAGAAGAGAATTAAAAGTGAACCGAAGATTAATTTACGGAAGTTTCAAACCGGGCATCGGTCTTTCTTAAGCAGAAATCCTTGTTTAATGAGACCTCGGCGTCATCAGAAGTTAATGCGAGTATTTTGTACTTCGTTCTAATATTTAATTAACAATCTTTAATGCACCTTCGTTATTCTTATTTCGATCAAAAAACAATAAAATTTGATGTAAATCTTGCTTATCGTTTTATAAGATAGAGGATAATTAACGGCTGGCCTTCAAACACGATTTTTTCCGGCCGCTAAGCATGTCAAAAGAGGCGTCAAACCTTCTCGAACGTTCCTCCCAGTTGAAGCAATTATGCAGTACAATGGTTTTCTGACAGTGAAATGGCTTTGCGAAAACATCATCAGAATCTGGTGAGTCTTTCGCCAAATTTGGTAGGTTTTAGAGGACGTTCTACGGGGAAGATAAGCCACCGACGTGGAACTATTATTTTGCATGAAGTTATTCGTGTCGGTGTTGCAATACAATGGTTTTCTAGCCTTAAAATGGCTTCCTGRCCGTTTATATGTTGAAATTAGCTGAATGGAAAAATCCCGAAAATCTTAGTATTTTGGGGCGTGCATGAACTATTTTATTGCCGCTTGCTTGCTTGCGGCTGTGGTAGTGCAATTCAATGGCTTTCTAACACTGAAATGGGTTCAAGAAAGGGTGCTGGCTATTAATTGGTTGAAATTAGCTAAATAGAAAATCACCGAAAAATCATAATTTTTCGTTACAAAACAACTGCTGTCGGAGACACCCATCGAGACCGCATCAAAACTAACAAACAGACAACCAGTTACTTTTAAAGCGATTAATTTTCCACATTTCCAATCAGCTGACAGCGAAATGGCTTCCTCTGAAATTACCTTAAGTGTAAAATTACAAAGCTTTGACCAAGTTGTCAAAGTGCCACTCAAAAACGCGAACGTACAATTTCAGTATTTAAAAGCAATTAAAAGGTTTCTGACACTACAATGGCTTCCCAAGAGTAAACATTTAAAAYCTGTTTAATGCTAAAATTCCCATAAAACATTCTTTTCCCCTTCTTCCTTGATAAAGATCAGCTTCCTACACAGGTATTACAACATCACATAAATTACATATTTCGGTTTATATTTACTTACAGCCGTCGTAAATGTGTAAAATTCCTGAATATGTCATCCTCGATGTGTGTTATATCGTTGTCGCTCAAATCGCTAAAAATAATAAATAAAAAAAGCAAGAATATATACATTTTTTCAAATAAAAAATTTGAAATATTGGGAATATTACCGGGAAAGATGATCTATTTGCGATGATCACGTTTAGATAAGAAGTAAAAGTCTGTAGGCGAATTTGAGAGTAAAATTGTTCGGCCGGATGTACAGAGATTGTTCTGGATTATATGTTATGAGAAAAACCTATTAAGTGAAATCACTGATTGAGAGCAGAAGTGCAAACCATACATAAAGATATGTTACAGGGCAATAAAATGGAAGATTTTTACACTTTCTTTAATTTTTCTCGTAAAGTAAATGTTGGCTAACAACTTGGTATCTTCACCGACGAGAACTATGATCGTACTTCGAGCTCTTATTTCGTTCATAATTATTTCTTTACTCGAAAATTTTCCTCCAAATTAAAATTCTTTTGCAAAGCGTTTGTCTAGTTGTTTGAACATCGATATAAAATGGTGATAAATCGACTAACGAAGCTTTGCTTTTCGCTAAGTCTTTGCTCATTTTGAAGATGACATTTTGAGTCGGTTTTCCTGTCGAAACGAAAGTTCAAAGCTCAAGAGAAAAGAGGTTAGGTTGAAGATTGAATTTTAAGAAAGAATAACAAATAAAGAATGAAACTAGTGTACCAAAACTTGTATCGGGAAATATTCTTCGAGAACACATCTGGGAAAGCGCAATTTACTACAAAAACATAACATAAAACCAAATAAAACAAACTCAATACAGACAACAACAAAAATTTAAAACCGCAAAGAAAGTGGGCTGCTAATTATCTTCTATACGATATCATAAAAACAAAGAAAGGAAATTCGTGTTTAGAAAATCAAATTTCGAAAAGGCGTATCTGAAAATGAACCAAGCTTTGAACGCCGTAAACGACACGAAACTTCAACGCAATTCGCCTAGGTTTTTAAGTCACCTTTTCCAAGAGTAATATAAAGATTTCATTAATCATTTCTAAAAATACACACAAACAAAGATTTCGCTTTTGCATCTGGTTAAGAAAATAATGGAAGGGGGAAGGAGAAATAGAGAAAAATTTTGACAAACTAAGTAGTGAAACTGAGCTTTCCCATGGAAACTCGAGTGATTTCTGCATGGTGGATTTTACGTTCAGAAATTACCAAATTATTTTGTTCAGTTGATAATGTTTCGAGGAAATATAGAGTGTAAATGGAAAGTTGAGAGTTTTTGATTTAAGTAAAGAAGAAAAAGTAAAGAGTACTTAGCTTACAGTTCAGTGACATTTTCGGGTATTTCTTGAGGAACTTCGCGCAGTTTGTTACTTCTGCATTTCACAACTAGTGCTTCATCAAGGTACCGGCACTCACACGTCGTACGACAAGCTGAATACGTTTCCTCCATATTCAATCCATGCAATTCCCAAATCATTAACGCAGTACAAATAAGCCAGAATTCTCTTCGTCCTCGCTTCATTCTTCTGGGCTTCTACAAAACGAAGCAAGCTTGGCCAAACGTAATGAATTGATAACTATGTTGAACTTCACTGAGTGATTGTTAGAAACCCAATTGGGGACCAGACATCTGATATTGGCAGATCACTTTAACGGAATGTCAAATTACGTTTCAACTCCCAAGTGTGGATAGATGAGTCCCTGTTTTGAGCAATTGTGGGTTATATTTAGCACAAGGAGACTTGATATCGCGATCTTTCATTCTTTGGATCTGTCGGAGTGCTTCCGGCAATGCCGTTCTGGCGTGCAGTAATGATCTTAATCCTTCTCTACCAATGCTCGCTCACTTCTGCGAGTAATATGACCTAAACAAACCAAAATACCTATAAATTCGCTAGAAAACTAACCCCAAATTGTAGCAACTATATCTCAGCCTCTTGAATATTCATTGGATAAATAATCTCGTAATAGAAATAACGACCGACTAAGACAGACGTAGTAATTTCAATGCCTTGAGAGTTCCGCTCATCCGATCGGAAGACGTCAAAATTTACTTGTAACTCATTGCTTCCATTGTTTATATCGCCTTATAATTTCGTTTAAACTCGAAAAAATCCAATTAATATCATCTCACTTGCTTTATTTCATTTCTATGGCAGCGTTTTCCAGAAATTTCGTCTCCAAAACCAACATTAAATTGATAACAGAAAACTTCTGTCGAGACTAATGTAGACAGCGTCCTTTTTAACACGTCTTTTATGAAATTTACTTTAAAAACAATCAAATATCATTTTATTTTTAGGCTAAAACAAGCCTGGCTTGATGCGTATAATCATTTAATCGAATAAAAAGAATTAAATCTAGGAGATTGAGATTAAAACGAGGCGGCTTCCCGACAAATCAGAATAATCAACCAAACCACTATTGCAACGAAACTTCATTCGATAAACTAGAACAGTTCTCATTTTTTCCCTCGACTTTTACAAATCTTTTTTTTTTTTTTTTTTTTTTTTTTTTTTTTTTTTTTTTTTCTGGCTAGTATATTTTCTGTTATAAGAGAGTAGAAACAGAGATTAGTTTTTTTATATATAATGATGATTCAATGATTATTTGACAATTTACTGCATCCTACGTGCATTCAAAGAATGTCTTTTACCAGCTTGACGCCGAAGTACACGCGTTCTATTTCGGACGGAAAAGACAAATTACCGAGCTAACGAGAGTGTAGCGATAAGAATCTATCTCGTCTTTGCTTGTCTTCGCTTTCCTTTGAAGAGCGAAGGTCTGAAATGATTGAGGGGGAGGGAATAAAGCTTTGATCGCTCGATGTGTTGGGAAGGAAAGAAATGAGCTAAAATAAGGAATATGATCTTTTGGAAAACAARACCATCTGTAAGTAATCGACGCCAGAATGGTCTTTTGAACATTTCGTTATCGACTATCCTTGGTGTGGTCGTTTGCAGAAGGATTCGTCTTACGAAACTCTGGTAATCGACCATTTCTAGTATCATGTAAGGGTGGTCGCTTACAGGTGTTGTCTTATAAACCTCTCGTAATCGACCATCCTCAGTGTCACGTAAAGGTGGTCGMTTACAGATATTCTCTTATAAACCTTTCGTAATCGACCATCCTTGTGTCATGTAAAGGTGGTCGCTTACAGAAAGTTTCGTCTTATAAACCTCTCTTAACCGAGCATCCTTGCTATCGGTTAAATGTGGTCACTTAGATGTATTCTCTCATTAACCTCTTGTAATCGATCTACCTTGGTCGGTTAAGGGTTTGTTCGCCAACGGCTTTTCCCACTTCAGACCTCGTGTCATTCCTTTGAGTATAATTTCCTTGTTTACCGGTAATACTCAAAAAGATATTAATATGGATGCCAATCTACCCAAACATTTTAGCGTCAGCTAGGTCGAAATGGGAAAACATTGATAAATTTATTAATAAATTGATTTAAGCCAAAACATTAGACAAAATATTACGGCCCAATTTAAAAAACCCTTTTCTGAGAAGACACTAAATTTCTACTCTTTCGGCTTCTTAATCTTCCTTGGTGGCAAATCTTTCTTCCAAAACACCCAAAATTCCTAATCAACAATATTATATACCTCGAAATTTAGCATTTTACTACACCACTTACCCCACCAGGGGCAACTTGAGCTCTTCAACTGGGAGAGAAGACAAGGAAGCGGCCTGAAACTAAACATGTTTGCGGATAACGTTTTAGAATAAAAATAAATCGTTTTGAAAAATGAGAACAAAGAAAATCATGTTTCAAACTCACCACTAGTAATTTCACTCAAGAGTCCCACGTCCTAGCACCGTTGAGCCCATACTGACCTGTACGAGGCTGCATTCACCAGATATATCAGAGTAAATCACCAAAATAAGAATAACGATATCTTAGAAGATGAAGTCTGTCTTGAGCTGCTMACAGAACGTCCACCTTTTGCAAAGAAACGGGAGACAATATGGCGAAGACTCCGATAAGATTACTCAAGGCTTTTACAAGAACACAAAGAGTATCAAGGACACTTTCATTTGCTAAAGACTTTTTAAAACAGCATAAGCACTAATTTCGCTTGTCATTCGATGAAGGTTAAAATATGTTGATATAACAAGTGAAGAGTTTGACATTCAAGGGTCGAAAGCTTTCAAAATGGGAAATGAAACCACACCAGTTTGTTATAATAAGTGTTTACACTAATGGCTTCGCTAGACTTTAATTCTATTTTATGAATGCATAGATACGACGAAAACCTATTATAAACCTCTAACATTGACGCATTGTCATTGTTCCATGAATATTGCTTCTCAAAAGCAACAAAAAGAAAAAAATTTATCCAAAAGCGACGATTTTTTTAAAAAAATTCTGGGCTCAAGTTTCAGCYATTTTGAATTTGTTGTTTCCTGGAATCTGATTGGTTATTGGACCCATAATAATCCTCGTGCTTCGCAGCCAATGAGCTTTTTTATCAGGTATTTTTAAATTAGTGAAACAAAGAATAATTATTACACAGCTGGAATCTGAGCTTATGTTTTAAATTAGTAGGTACTGTGAAGGAAATAAGTTCCAAACTCAGGAAAATATGGTTTWAAAAAAGTGTGAACTTTGTAAGAAAACCTTCGTCATGTCTACCAACAATGATTTTTTTTATTATAAAATTTCGATTTTTTGAAAACTCGTTCTTATCTTCGTAAGTTTTAAACATATTTCCTTCAAACTAATTTTCACTAATTTTTAAATGCTTTTTCCAGTTATGCCAGTTATTCTTCTGTCCTGTGAGTCTTGAAGAAGTTTGGAATTACATGAGAGAAGCTCTAGCATTTGCTTACGACAAATTAGGCTAAGCTAAAGTATATTTCTGTTATTAAGCCTATTAAATCTTCTTATCCTTTCTCAAGTACTTTAAAAAGCTTTGCTCAGGATTGCGGTTTTCAAAACAAATCATTAGGGCATGCTTTACCGAGTTTGAAAATCCTCTAAGATTTAAAATTTTTTTTTCGATTGTTATCATTGAAAGAATTTGATTTGTTTGTTTGTTCTATTTTTCGCGTTTTGATTGGTTGAGAGCGCGTCATTTGTGAGAGCACACAGCACACGCGCACACACTTTTTAAATCGTATCAAAAATAATAATGTTATTTGTTTTGTTTTTTTTTGTTTTTTTAAACTTGCTTGCTGTGCTGTGTGGAGTTATAAAACACTTGCGGAATGGAAGAATACTCGAGAAGATCCGCACTTCTCTCGTGTTCTTCCAAACCCCGCAAGCTTTACTAGTATAACTGCGCACAGCACGCGCGCGCATTTTTTATTTCTTCATTTTTTCTAATTTGTTTTCTTGTTTAGGTATGTTTGTCTTCGTCTGCTCGTTTCTTTGCTTCTTCGATATTTGTTTGTTCGCTTGTTTCTTTGTGTTATCGTTTATTATTTGCTTGTTATTTGTTTGTTTGTGTTCGTTTGTTTTTCGTTTGCTTCTTTGTTGTTTTTTTCGTGTTCGTTCTTTTGTTTTCTTGTTTTTTTTTACTAAAGTTTGTTCGCTTGTATCATCCTTTGCTCTCTCTCGATTAAATGTTTTTCTGCTAGTTCTCCAAATTTCCTCCCTCCGCAAAACCCACTAAGCTTTCTACATTTTCAATTCTACATAAATAAAATTTGAAGGCTTGTTTATTTTATTTTATCAGTTTACTATAAAATAAATTTCAAAATCCCCCGGGTTTACGTGGGCGTAATGGAATCATACCGCGTAAAAACGTTATCGGGAAGCTTAATATCAATATCTTTAGGAGAGCGAAAAATATTCATCGAAAAATATAGAAACTTTGCATAGGAAAACACGAAACATTCATGAGAGCAATACCATAAATAATGGACTAGAAATGCTTTGGAAAAGAACTGTAAACATTAATGGTCTGTTTTATAAAAGATCAACACGAGAAAATAAGCTTTGCTCATTCAGGTATTACAAACTTATCTGTGCACGTTGGTTTTATCGATGCTTTCGAAGGTATGATAAGAGAGTACTGTACTATATACTAAATGGAAAGAAAGTGCTGGTTTTCGAATGCTACAATATTAAGGGTAGCTTGGAATGTAAGAGTTTCCATCCATCCATCCGTCCATCCGTCCGTCCGTCCGTCCGTCCGTCCGTCCACTCATCCATTCATTCTTCTTTCCTTTTTTTTTTTATTTATCTTTTTCTATTTTTTCTCATTCTAATTCTCTTCCATTTCCTCTCATTTCTTCCTTTATTTGTTCCTTGAATTACGCATGCGCGAATCGTTGAAGAGCTCGTTCTTGCTCGGTCGAAGCCAATGTTCATCTTGACCTCCGACAAAAAGCAAAATAAAGCAAAATAAACGTGAGCACTGAGTACGACTTAACCGAGATGAAAAAGGACCTAAAGATCTAAAATTTTAATTTTGATATCTCATTCCATTAGTATAAATTTATATTACACTCACTCGGTAAACACCGCTGTGATCATTGACTACAGGCTCATTTGCAAAGTTTTACCCTCGTTTAAGAGCAAATCATTTACAAAAGTCAACTATAATATAAAGAATGCGCAACAATAGGACATTTGCATTATGGCGTCATGTAACTACACTTTCAGAATCCCTTGTACACTTTCTTTTGCACAAATCTTCTTTCTATTCTCATGAGGGAATACATATTTGAACAAGAAAGAAAATTCGCGAAACATTTTGGTCAGCGGTAGTAAAATGATCATGCAAACGTCGTATCCCACATGTTGTAAATGATATTTATGAATAGGCTGACTTATAAATGAGGCTGACTGTATACATAATGAGTCTGGCCATAAACACAAGCGGTGTACATTGAATGAGAACGAAGGCTACACTTCTTTACCTTGGGCGTTATGTTTTCTCATTTCAGACCACGTGTCATTCTCTTGAGAATAAGATTCTTTGTTTGAGTCGCATCCACATTCATGTGTCTTCTCATGCGCAACCGTTCAACAAAGAAATGATACTCTAGGGAATGACACGTGGTCTGAAATGGGGAAAACATTTCGCCCAAGGTAAAGAGGACTTTTCGTGGAGATTTTTCACTTCTTGTTTAAAAACTTAGAAGAAGCTTTCATGTGTCCCAAAGAAGCAACTTTTCTGTCCTCAGTTCCATTCTTGTTTTTAATCTTCGAACTCAACGAACCAAGTTTCGTTGCGGCCAATCTTCCTGTAATTTTCATTCTTGACAATGGGGACCCTCGGTCAGTACTTTTTTGTCCCACAGTTCCAACTTTACCAGGGGAGGACACGGGATTATTGACACGTGGTTGGGGAAAGACTTTTCCCAGTTCCTYGAATGATTTGGACTTAATAGAGTCTTTCAGACTCCCTTGAAATGCCCGCACTCCATCTCCGAACCCCCCCGGACGCACTAAATCTGAATCCATAAGTCCGGGGGAGGGATTAGTAAAATTATCATCTAACGTCCGTCCCCCCTCTGCGATGACATTAGTGTCGCTACTGCTTCCCCCTGGAATTCTACTCTCCAAGTTCATTGTTCCGGGGGAGTATATCTTCACTCTCTGTGTCTTAAAAGCAGCTTTCTCGATGGCTGGAGTGTTAGAAATGTTTATCATATCGATATCAGATATAATATTCGAGGATTTCGGTTGAGATTCGCCTTTTTTAATCGTATTGTTCGCTTTCTTGAAACTTGTGTCCTTTTTACCGAAGCCGCACATTGAAAGAGAAGATTTTACGAATTCAAGTGGAATTCTACCAACGGTGCCATCGAAGCGATTCTTCGTCACCTGCGAATGGTAGGAAATTTAGCCTCAAAGTTACACTTTTCGAGACATCGGTATTCGGTTTTGATTCGGGTAATATTCGGGTAATATTCGGGTTGTCCAATGGCCTCTTCATTATCCGAATTTACTTTGACCTTATTATACTGGAGTAGTTTTCTGGACGCGCTAATGTTAAATTACGACAAATTTATGAATAATTTCACAAAGAAGACACCTAAGTAATACGAACAAACAACCTGTATAATACGAACATACTGGTAATACAAAAGCTCTATAATACGGACAACTGAATACAGACACCTTCATAAAACGGACACCTACACCTGTGTAATACAAAAACCTCTGCAATACAAAAACAATAATGCTGACACCTCTACAATACGGACACCTATGAAATAAAAACCTCTCAAATACGGACAAAGACTTCCAAAAAGGATACCGGATCGACCTGACCTCGGTGGTCGTATTAGAGAGGTTCAATACAATTATTCATTCGGTACCTGTAGATATTTCTCTCCTTTTCCTTTTTTGTCTTGTAAGATGAGCACGTTATCGGCCTCTTGGCTCGCTTTTGCCGTACCAAATATGGAAGCAGTTTGAAGCTCTACGTCATCATTTTCCTGCAAAAAACAAAATCCAACAAGTGATTTCAAACGAGTAATTTTAAACACAGAATGTTTATAATGGAACTCAAGGGTGACCTAGCAGTGTACTTGCCGCTCACCTTTGAGGTCTGGGGTTGGATTTCTGTTCCCAGTATTACATGTGAATAAAGTTCGTTAGGCCTCTATCTTGATTGGAGGATTTTTCTCCGGGAACTTCAGTTTTTCTCCCTCCGCAGGCTAACATGCTAAATTCTGTGAGTTAGCCGTGACCTGACTTAGGTCAGCCCAGAGGTTGTTTCGGCCTTTGATCTGTGAGTTAGCCGTGCCCTGACTTAAATCAGAGGTTATATATTGAAGGATTACAAAGAAATAGTTCGAACCTAGCATCGTTGAGTATGCTGAATTTGATCGGGTGAGTTGTGTAGTGCTATTCGTGGTGATTATATGGAAGTCATCGAGTCAAGTTTAGTAAATACAGTACTTACCTTTCTTGGGTGAATGACAAGCGTGACATGGACATTCTTTGAACTGGCAAAACTCCTCAATGAAGATATTGCATGATTTTGAACAGAAAAACGATCTTCGGCCCTTAAAATAAAAATAATTCTTGTGAAGAATGCTACGGTTTAATGGACGCGCCTTTTACGGGATTTTTAATGGGAAGGTGCGCGCGCCGTTTTAGAAAAGCTAAACCTTTCCCGCGTTTTTGYTTTTGTTTTTTGTTTGTTTGGTTTTTTTTGAMGGGGGAAATGCGCGCGCAATTTGCCAGAAGCTTAACGTTTCCCGAATTTTTTGATGGGGAGATGCGCGCCATTTACCGGAAGCTAAATTTCCTCGCTCTTTTCATTTGAGTATAAGTAGACGCGGGTCCCCTTAACCGGAAGCCAACTTTTCCCGCCAATTTTGAAAGATAGACGCGCTTGCCATTAGTTTACTTCTCCCTCTCCCCCGACACGAGCGACGAACATGGCGGACATAGACTTGTTTTACAGACTTAATATATCTACCTTAAATTTGAAGTCATGAACTGAAGATTGTCGATGATGATGTGGTCGATATCAAACACATACACGGCATGTGCCATTGTCTGTCAAACAAATCCAGAAAACAAATAAGCAAGGCCCATGTCATTAATAGTTAAGCTTTTTTTATTATTGTTCTGTGACCCGGTGCGTTTTTTAGCATTCTGTTTGAATTAGCAGTGACTGGCTTAGCAGATATCATTTTTGTACTGTGGCTATGCCGTGAGCATTTTCACATGCATTGAAGTCTAATGCTTGCTGAAGGAGAGAGATTGTGAGGGAGGAAGAGGGAGAGGGAGAGAGTGCGGAAGGAAAAAGAGAGAGAAAGAGAGAGAAAAAGAAAGAGAGAGAAAAAGAAAGAGAAAGAAAAAGAAAGAGAGAGAAAAAGAAAGAGAGAAAAAGAGAGAGAGAGAAAAAGAAAGAGAGAGAAAAAGAAAAAGAAAAAAAAAAAAGAAAGAGCGATGGGGGAGCAGCAGATATCATTTCTGTAAAATGGCCATGCAGTGAACATTCTCACAGTCATTGGAAATCTAATGCTTGTTGACGGAGAGAGATTGTGAGGAAGGAAGAGGGAGAGGGAGAGAGTGCAGATAGAAGGAAGAGAGAGAAAGAGAAAGAAAAAGAAAGAGCAAAATAAAGAAAAAGCGATGGAAGAGAGAGAGACTGAGTATCATGGACTGGTACCTCAATAACAGTGCTGATGTTCTGTGACCCATAAAAACACATGAAGTACATCGGTAACATCTCAAACTTATCAGCCCAGTAATTGAACTGCTGGACGTTCTTCTGGAGATCCAGTCTGCAAGAGAATTTACTCATTAATCAAAGGAAGGATCAATGGCAGGATTCCAATAACCTTGTCCAGGAATACCTGGAAATCCAGAAAACGGATGGCATCATCATACATTTCAGGGCACCATTTTTGTTAAGATACGAGAGTTAACTTGATGATTTGAAAATGAAAGAGGAAAAATGTGATGTGGAGTTTAGGGAGAGAGGACAAAAGAAAGCTAAATAAAATCAATGTACTATGCTTTACAAAATCATTACTTACTTTATTACTACTGGAAGTGGAAACTGAGGGGGTGGGGGTCAGGGAACCTTGGGTTAGGATGGTAAGCTAAGGGAACAAGTTCACGACTATATACTCACCCTGAATACTGGTTCATCATTATTTTGGCTAAACGTACATTTCGTATCTCAAAGCTTCCCCAGAGAGTATTCACCTGTAAAATGATTTAGTAAAGACTTTAACACTCAAGGATCAATATTATTCATATTATGCATGGGGGAATGAAACGGAGGCAGAATGGTCGCGTGGTCATAGCGTCAGTCTCGCAATCCGGTGGTGCCGGGTTAGAGTCCCGGGGAGGACACCAGCTGAGACTGTATTTGTCCTGATTCCTGATTAGTTCAGATTCAGTTTCTCGACCATGCTTGTAAATAGCCAACTGGTTTGCCTCCTTGCCAGTTGGGATTTTAATAAAGTGGTTGACCAATTCTCCTGAGGCAGGGGCTCACATATAACTGGCTCAAAGGTGCACACTTTACCACCTCAGACTATCAGTGCTCATTGTTACGTTCATTTAAAGCTAAAGCTAAGAAGAACAGAGAGAACAGTGATCCTGAGGATTGAGCCTCTAGCTTTGAAGGCTGCACACTAAACATCTGAGCTACACCTGATTCTTAAAAGTGTGCTGCAAGTGTGCAGTACAACTTACTCCTTGTTGGCATAAATCTACAGACATCTCACTGAGCAGTGTTGTCTTGCCGGCACCAGTTGGTCCTGTGAATATTGTCAGTTCACCTCGACGATGTCCTTTCAGAAGAGCATTTAACTTCGGGAAGCGACTCCACTATGAAAACGATACATGTGTTAGCATAGCCTAACAATCTAACATTCTATATTCCAATTCAATCTGTGAGTCAGGTAAACTCTGACTTAGATCACCCCACAGTGTTGTTTCAGGGTCATTCGTCAACGTGAAAAAAGATCAAAAAAGATTCTATTTCATGATAAGAAAATAATTACCTTGACTCCAGCTACTTGATCCGCATTCACAAACTCACTGTAAACTTCATTCCTCAGCTATTTCGATACAATAATAAAAGTCAAACAATCGAAGACTCTACATTGGTGTGATATGTTCTTAATATACACTAATAGTGCAGGAGGTCATGGGTTCAAGCCTCAGCTGGACCAATTACCACTTGATCAGGGTCTTAAAAACCCGGGGGGAGGACTCCGGGAAAAAAGTACCAGGGATGCTCATCGTATCTCTTGTGGGCAAAATTTCGCAATTTGGTATCTTTTAGTGTGTTAAATGCAAATTTTGAAAATCAGCATTTTCTGGTATCCTTCAGAGTGTTGGAAAAGGAGAGAAGTGGGCATCGATATCGCTTATCCTAGGCGCTTTTAATTTAATATTATTTGTCGTGGTATCTCTTAGGGGTTAAAAATCATTTAGCCACGCCCTTTTTAAAAGACTTCCAGTATCTTTTAGGGGTCTTTTTGAAAATTTCCGATGAGCATCCCCGGTACTTTTTCCCGGAGTCCCCCCCCAGGCTTAAAACGTCTGAGTAGGAGGTCCTAGCTGCTTTTGCTCTGAAAATGTCTGCAAATGGTTTTCTTTAATGATTTTTTTAAATGATTTTAATTTTAATTAAAACTAGCACAGAAGGTTTATCATTACCTCTTGAAAGGTGGCAATCTTCTCATGGTTTATTGGCTTTGAATTCATTAAGAGCTCCTTCAAATCAAGACCCTTTAGTAGTAAAGAATAAAAGAACAACGTTTCACATTGTCGTTGAAAATACAATGGGGGTCTTCATTGGTGTAGCAAGCTTTATTGTATTCTGGGTTAGGGTTTTTGTTTTGCAGGGTATTGTTTAGCTCCAAATTCATTATTCACAGCTATTGTTTTATTGTCTTCATGCCTCAGGTGCCCCGCAACACCAAGAAAAAGCCTCAAATGGCTACAAACATCTTGTCCACCTAGTATATGAAGTGAAACATGGAAAATTCTTCGGAATGGGAGCAGTTCAGCTTCATGCTTTTAATTAGCCTTAATTAATTAGCCTTAATTAATTAGCGTGTTGTGTGAGGTCATCGCCAAAGCAACTGCCAGCAGTAGTGGCACACTGCAAGCATTAGTGCATTTTTATTGGATGCGCAACCCACCTTATTCAAAGCATCCAGAGCTCCTGTCGGTGGGCTTTCACATGTTGGCCTGAAATTAATAAATATATCAATAAAAGGTGAGGGAACAAATAAGAAACATAGGCCCATTCCATACACTTCACTATACTCATGTGCCGAAATTAATATAATTACAGTAGGTTTAATTGTCTCCAAATATTTTTGGAGCGACTGCTGATTCAGAACTTAATRTGTTGAACTAAATTACAGTAGGTGACTCCAGTCATAATATGCTGAACACACATTGATGAATTAAGTACAGCAAAAGAGTGCAGTATAAATGAGTTTGGTCTGACAGTTTAATTGTACGGCAAACATGTCAAGTTTGACACTCTTGGCACATTATCTGACTCTGGAGAAGCAGCTGATTAATATGTCACTCTTTTGCCATACTACTATAGGTTTGGTGAGGGTAGAATGGCATACTATTATTATTATTATAATTATACAGCTTCTCATTAATATTCCCATATAGGTAACTGTCCAATTATTTTCTTAATTGGACAGGTCTTGTTGATATGGGATTACTTAGGCAGCTATATAATTAATAGGTAATGGGATTTCATGCTCCCCAATCAAGAAATAATTAGACTCGAAAAATTCCTCTGACTGCCAAATTGGACTCAGCCTACGGCCTCATCCAATTTTGTCAGTCCTTGGAATTTTCCTCGTCCAATATTATTTCTTAATTGGACAGCATGGAGTCCTATTACATATACTTATTATTATTATTATTAGCAATTATTCTTTTAGTATTTGAATTAAAGTTTTCAATTTTTTTAAATTATTATTATTATTATTACTATTATTATTGTTATTATTATTTTTAATAGTGTCTATATCAGTTTTTCATGAAAGTACTACATTTAGTTACCTTACGATGTGGCAGCGCTGAATGCTTAGCTTCTTGGAGAAATGGTTGGCTGCTTGCCTGGACCGCACATCATCACCAAACCAAAGGATAATACGCTGAAACTGTTCCAACTGAGGAAGAACCTTAAGAAAAGATGTGTTTGGTGAACGGTGGGAATTTTACAGAAAAAGACAAATTAGAATAAAGTGAGCAGCATGCAATGTGCTGTAGGTCATGCCTGGTGTTTTCTAGTTTGATTCTCAAGTGAATAACATATGCATGTTGACTTTGTTTGATGCGTTAAAAAAATGAATTTATATAGCAACATTTCCAGCAGCTCAATGGCGCTTTACAAGATCATTGGAGGACTTTACAGGCTGCATATTAAGGTGCTAGTAGCAGCTGTGCAGCTTACAATCATGAGTGTGAAATGTTAGTAGATTAGTATTATGCCTCCAAATTAGGATAGGCTGTTGTTCTATTTTCCCTTGCCATAAGGATTTTTCTCCAGATTTCCTTCGTTTCTTTCCTTGAACATGTGAGTTGAGTGTTGAATGTTGTAAATGGGACATGTAGGGGCAGTGCATGTGGAGCTAAGCTTACACAAGATAATGACGGTAGCTTAAGTTAAGCTTATAAGTATATAATAAAAAAATAACAATATTCAATACATACAAACCTCTGGAGGGAGTGAGTGAGTTCCTAGAGGCAGTGAAATAGCAGGGTATGATGTGGCTTGATTTACAGCTATGGCATCAAATTCATTCAGGGTCAACACCACCTTAAAATAGGTTAATGGTGTTAGGATTAATGAGTGTGTAAAGTAAGTTAAACAAGGACTGCAGTATATGATCYCTGGACTTGCATGGTTTTTGTCTGTCAACAATAATCTTCCAGGGGTGGATCCAGGATTTGGTTCAGGGAGGGATGCGACACACATTGTTAACACAGGGAGGGGTACACCCCTTAGAATCAAAGGCAAAAAACAAAATTGGTTTTCTTCCAAGTAGGAGGACAAAGTGTAACCAGGGAGGGGTGTGCACCCCCTGCATTCCTCCCCTGGATCTGACCCTGTCTTCCCTTGTTCTCACCCTTTCTTGCCATGCAAGTTTTTCTCTGGGTTTTCTGGTTTTCCTCCCATCCAAGGAAATCAACATGTTCTCTTCCTTTCACTGAGGACACTCAACCAGTGAACACTTTCAGTTTTTTGAAACTTAATTTGAGAGCCAACCATTACTTATTACCTCTTTGGCATCTAAAGGGACTGTATTCCAACCAAATAACCCTAGAACACCCAACCTGAAACAAGTTGTTGATCTGAATTAAATTTGTAAAAAATATGGGGATGATGATGATGATGATGATGATAATGATCTTGATGATGATGATGATGTTGATGATGACACTGATGGTTATGGTGATGATAATAGTGATGATTGCTGATGATGGTAGTAATAATAATAATTATAATAGTGTCTATACCTTGGTTGCATTGCCACCCCTGTGCTATCCTCCTCCTGGTCCAGCCTGACAACTTTTACTCCATGAACAACAGACTTGTTAGAGTCATACCAAGGAAATACAATACAACTGTGTTCCTTTGATGTCCCATCAGGCTCAGAAAACTGATAACCATCAACATTAAAATGTTTTTAGAAGTACAAAAATATATAATTGAAACAAAAAGGTTTACAAAAGAATAACTACATCTATCAGGCCTTTTTCCTTGTATTTACTTTATTGCATTCATTTACTGTAACCAGTGTAACTATTACCTTCATTTTCTGTAAAACTCTATGCTTTACTACTATTTTGTTCATTACTTTGTTTACTCCATCTAATTTTGTAAATTTATATTAAGTGATCTCCCTAGATGAGCTAGCATGAGAGCTCTTGGAGACAACTTATAGAAACTAAATGTTTAAATAAATAAAAAAGAAGGCTGATAACCAATTTATTTATTCATTTATTTACAAAGCTTCACCTCATAATAAAGATATAATAAACTACAAAATAATATACAAAACAAAACAAAAAAGAAACACGAATGAGGAATGTCCATGGAACTCAGAGAAGTAGAAAAAAGTTCTTTCATTTTGCAACACAAAATTACTCCAATACTGACTGAAGTTCCACAAAACGTTTTGCCTTAAAAATATAGCTAATGATATGGGATACAGATATTTTCACTGGAGATAATATTATGCAGTTCACAGAATACTAAATAATAATCAAATAGTTTTGACTTTACCTTGTGTTGGGCAATATGCACTTGGTATTTCTCAAGCAATTCTTCAGAAATATTCTGGAAATTTAATCAATAATTAAATCATGCACCCTAGATTTACTAATTTATGATTGTAGCTCGGTAATTAAGTAACTACTAGCAGTTGGTATGCTGAATAATGCACTTGGGACTAATGTTTTGCCTGTTTCAGACCACCTGTTGCTCTCTTAAGAATAAGATTCTTTGTTTGAGTTGTATTCATATTCATGTGTCTTCTCATGTGCAACCGTTAAACAAAGAAATAATACTCTAGGGAATGATGCGTGCCCATGAGAATAAGATTTTTTATTTGAGTTGTATCCATATTCATGTGTCTTCTCATGTGCAACGGTTAAACAAAGAAATAATACTCTAGGGAATGATGCGTGCCCATGAGAATAAGATTTTTTATTTGAGTTGTATCCATATTCATGTGTCTTCTCATGTGCAACGGTTAAACAAAGAAATAATACTCTAGGGAATGACACGTGGTCTGAAATGGGGAAACAGTGCATTACATCTATTTGAGGTTTTTATAAAGAGACTGGGAGATAATGGCCATGAGAATGAGAAAGAGATAAGTAATTCACAATGTGTAGTTCCAAAAATTATCCATACCCACCCCACAGAGGAATTTGGAATTTCTGAAAAGTAGGGGGGTCGGAGAAAGAACAAAAATTACAGAGTTTGTATGGAAGAAAATTGGAATTTCTGGGGGGTGGGGGGGGGTGTCTTCCTTTGTGAGGGGGGTACAGATAATTTTTGGAACTACACAATTTGGAAAAGCTGTAGGATATATATAGGGTGATGGCATTCCATAGTATATACCTTAATAGAAAACTTTTCTAAAATGTTCCTTTTCACTTGGTCATCCGCTCCAACAAGTGGTTTGCGGTCTCTCCACAGCTGTAATGCTTTAGCATTGGTGTCAGCACTGTTGACAAGGGGTGCAGTATATGAGGACACATGCTGTGTTGATGGCACAGCATTCCCATCACTAGTGGCTGGTTCAGACATCATCGCCTGTCAAATTTAATAACAACATTTATTATTATTATGAATAATTGATGAGTAAAAACACAAATAAAGTTATCACTATTGACAACAATGGAAATGAAAAGACAAAAATGAAGTGAAGACATGGACGAGACCTTGACTTGAAAAAATGACAGTAATGGCAATGACAGGGACGACAATGATAGTGATGGCAATAAAATGAATGGCAATGACAATGATATTGATGTTAACCCCATGACAACAATGACAGCAATGGCAATGACAGGGATGACAATGACAGTAATGGCAATGACAGGGACGACAATGACAGTAATGGCAATGACAGGAACGACAATGATAGTGATGGCAATAAATGGCAATGACAATGTTAGTGATGATAGCCCATGACAACAATGACAGCAATGGCAATCACAGGGATGACAACACCTTGACGACAATGTGAATGACGGCAATGATAGTAATAGCAATGACAGCCTGTAGTGACAATAAGTGATAACAATGATATATAGTGACAACAACAGTGATGACAATGGGAATGACAGCAATGACAGTGACAACAAATACAAGTGAATATCCCAAGGTATCATGGCCTGTCTGCGGAGACCCCTCTTTCCACTAGTAGTTTAATCATTGCATGCATGTGTTTTTGAGGGAGTGGGGGGGGGGGGGGGGGGGGGGGGGGGGAGAGGTGATTTGGTGATGCAAGTGGAAACACCACTCTATGAAGATGCGAATAAAAACAGAAAGTACAGAGGATATTAAAATATAAGCAGATTACCTTAAATTGTCTCCACGATCCAGACCTCCCACAATTTTTACAAAAATGACTTCCAGTAGTCTTATTAATATACATGCATAAATCAGCTTTCTTCCCCGCAGACTCGCTCTTCTTCGAACAAGACAAGCACGCCACGACTATCGACGTATGTCCATGCTCAAAACGAATTCCCTTTGACGACAAAAACTGTTCAATTTGTTTTACAGAAGGAAGATTTAGAGCTGCGCTGCTTGATAAAATCTTCCTCTGGTCGTTTGTGCTGGAGTAGAATAATCGTCTGGGGAAAAACTCCGTCTGAAAACCCATAATATTAGTTGTACAATTTCTGCACATCGTAGGCATTGTCTTTGATGCCGGGTGTCCATTTTTCACACAACCAGAGAACAAAATACCTCTCTGTTTAGTAAAATAGTGTCTAAAATGTAAATTATTCGACTCCACGTGGAACAGACTCCAAACTCGCGGGTTTAGAAAACGTTGCTTGCGCAAAAATCTTTGAGCCATTTCTGGTAAATAGYGACTCCCTTAGAATGTTAATCACTCATAAAGCGTTTTTACGCCTCATCTTATGCTATTTTGGCCATGAATCGCAGGAAAACTGGTCCAAAATATCACCTGTTTATGACTTGTTTTGAGTATTTGGCGCCATGTCGGGCTGAAACAATCGATATTTGGTTAACATATGGTCTGACATTAAAATCTTTAGGGAGGGGAGGGAAAGAGAAAAATGGCTTCGTATTAAAAAATCTTTCTTTCTATTTAAAAACATACTTTGAAAAAATATATTAACAATTTTAATATTAATATTAAATAAATTTTCTAGAAAATTAAATGATCTTTGATGATTTCATTCGATACCATGCCGAGCAATTGTCTATATTTTATTTTTTTCACACAATCTAGAATAATTTTATAGAATAAGTATCTTAGTAAATAAAATATGATCTTAATAAAAGATATATATATTTATCTAATATTTTTTCTTTAGCTCCGCATCCACTCACCTCCCACCCCTCCCATACAATAYCATTTTGTCCTGCCAAACACGTGGTCTAAACATGGCGGCCGAAGGAACAGGCCATTTATCTTTGACCGAAGCTCGTCGAAAATGCGAAGAAAAATACTCATGTTTTACCAAAATAGAATGCACAGAGTGCATGAGTCTATCGCCCAGTTATATAGGTAGACTCAAAGAGGGTATAGAAGAAGAATTAAGCAARAAATTAATGAAATTTTGCGAGAAACTTCAAGGGGTAATCGTTGCTTATGACAAAATACAACTATTGCGAAGACATGGCAGCATTGTGGAGGAATCGCCTTTTATTCATTTCGAGGTCAAAGTGAACTACATTGTCTTCCAACCACAGGTTGATAGTAAACTAATCGGAGTGGTGAACAAATTTGGCTACGATCACATTGGATGTTTGGTGCATGGGTGTTTTAATGCTTCCATATCAAATCCAAGGACTCAAAATGGACATTTCACTGATAATTTAAAGCTTGGAAGTAGTTTTACGTTTAGGGTCGTTGGTTTAGAGTCTCTTAATGGTGTTTTATTGATTACTGGAGCTTTTGATGACAAAACACTTCGAAAGAAGTCTAAGAGGTAAATATGACTAACATTGTGAGAGATAGCGAATGAACATGGTGCATTGTGGTCTAGCTTGGGTACAAACATCTTTTGTTCATCATTCCTGATYATAATGTTGTTTGTGATGAAGTTAGACCACAATGAATCCTGTTTATCGATGGGAATATCGATGGGTCCTGTGTAAACTGTGATTGGCTCAAAGGCTGTTGTCAATTCTGTATTATAACATTACAGTGTGCCATACCCATTTCACAGTCATACCTATGATATCTACATTGCAACATTGTACATCACTGCCACTTTATCCAAACATTGCACAATCATTGCTGGGCTTCATGTGGAAAATCCAGTTTGACAGGAAGTTAACTATAAAATAAACTTGAAACTTGAAGTGAGGTAATAAACACCAAAGCGAGACTGCCCATTGGAGATGTCTCGAGCGGCCAGGGTAGAGGTTTCTTGGCTTTGCCCCTTGAAAACAACAAAAGAGAAAAGGTAACAAGGAACCTCTGTCACCCAGGGTTAAGGACTGGGGAACCAGACAATTGTTGACCAGGCTGGGTGAAAGAATTTTTTTAGTGTGTATTGTCAACTCTTAAAACTCCGCTGTATGTGGGCTTAGCCTTGAATCCTTGAATCTCGAAAGGGAGGCTAAGTCCCCATACACTGGAGTTTATGAGTTGCTGATACCCATTTTTGACGAATTTTTCTTTTCTCTATAGCAAAAAGTCACTTGACAGAGACAAGAATAGTGATCCAACAACTGAAGGAACTGAAATACAAACCTCGAAAAAATCAAAGAAACATAAACAGGAGAACGATTCAGAAACGGAGGGACCTGTTGCTAAGAAGAAAAAGAAACTATCGAATGGTGATGCTCGTAGAGATGAAGAAGTATCAGCTAACAAAAACAATAACAATGAAAAAAACTTTAAAATCAAATCTGAGAAAACGAGTAATGACGATCATATTAGTAGTTTGAAAAAAGCAAAGAAAAAGAAGAAAAATCATAATTTGTGAGTTCGACAAATGTATTTTTAAATTGCAGTATTAAAACAAAGATTCCCACAAACTGATCTAAATTTTTATTATGTTTTTACAGAATCTACAATAATCATTGTTCAAAGCATTTTATATGTTTCTTCCATCCAAACAACCTCAGAATATCTAAAATTTTGTGCTTGTTGATCCAAAAATTACTTTGGATCAAAGACTGAATAAAGCCATAACGCATGGAAAAGCATGCCATATCTCGAGGTATCTGGATTGCAGAAACATGAGAAGTTCTGTTACTTCATTTTCGTTCTTGGCACTAATTACAGATACAAATGTGTAGTTCCAGAAAATCTCCATAAACCACCCACAGAAAAAATCTAAAATTCTTTAGGGGAGGGGGTGAAAGAAAGAAAGAACAAAATTACAGTGAGTTTGTATGGATGAAAATTGGAAATTCCTGGGGGTAGGGGTCCTTTTACAAATTCCCTCCGTGGTGGAGTATGAATATTTTCTGGAACTACACAAAATTTTGTTTGTCTTCAAACTATTTTTCTAAGGAAAAAAAATTGAGTTCAGATTTTTTCTGAAAAAAATAACTTGTAAGACAAACAAATACCTTTATCTTCAGTTGGGTTATGTTTTTCACAGACTCTTTCTAAATTTATACATTTGAAAAAATTATAGATTACAGTTCAATTAGTCAGGGTCATGCAGCCTCACTACAGCATTAAGATCATTTAAATACCAACAGTAAAAAAATATGCTCTACTTCAGTTATAATACAAACACTTTGTTATAGCCCAATTCCGAGACATGCTTCACTTGTCATGCACCAGGGCTTAAAATAAAGGCTGGTAAGTCACCAGTCATGATGACAGGCCAAAATAGTTTTCGCTCGGTCATACCTCATTTTGGCCTCGAAGTTACTGGTCAAAATGACTGGCAAGGCAAAGATTTCACTGGACAAGTTCTAATTCTGGGCAGACATTGTCCGATGTCCAGCTGTTATTTTAAGTCCTGTGCACAAAGGTCTTAGTAGGAGCCTACATGCTAAATTCAATGTATTCATTTCTCCTGTTGCAAATCACTGAGTATTATGAAGCCTCACATTGAATCCTTTGTGTGTGAAAAGCGAACCATATCTCAGAAGTGGGCTATTCCACAGACCTCCATTAGAACACATTAATATTCTAAACAAAATGGAGCAGGTATTTGTTTTATATTTTTGTTAGTATCTTATTTTCAATTACAGTATTACAGAAGTTAGTTTATGCACAGATCGTCTTATCATAGCAGAGTACTATCATGCAAAAACTCTATTCTATTCTATTAGGGAATGGTTAAAAACCATGTATGCTGAAAATAAAATTTAAAAAATTGATTAAAAATATGGATATTTTTTTTTATGGACCCTGGAACTATTACAGTGCGACTACTCCAACCAAGGCCACCTCGACAAATTTTCTACAAATTATCCAAGTATTCGAGCACTTAGACATTAGATTAGTGGCAAATTTTAAATTTAGATATTCTTCCATTGTTCAGATTGGTAAAACTAAATAATAAACAAGAATTAGTGATTTGTGTCACCAAAAATATAGAAAAATATTAAAGTATAATGTCAAATAGACAGGAAAGCAAAGTAGAAATCGTATAAAACACAGTCTTTATGATTACAGTTTGTTTTTTTCAGACAACAATATTATCAGGCTGACACCGTTAGATCTTATCACCATGTTGCTTTGCGACAGCACGTTTATATTCAACAACAAAGGTACCGGCAGTCTTCTAAACCGTGTAAACCCATGGATATTTGACTGATTTGTTGCAATTATATTGTTTCGATTCCCACTTTTGATTGGCTAATTTGTAGAAAAGTTGTTCGGATGGCCTTGGTTGAAGTAGTGTCACTTTAAGATCCTTTAAGGATCAAGTCAAAATTCAATATCTGTAGCAATACATTTCAACAAGGGTTGCTGCGATTCCCAGTCACATGCGACCAACTCAGACCTAAATCACAAACAAAAAATTGAGTTTTGGTGGACGTCAATCAAAGAGTTTTCTTTAAAATGTCTGTGGATTCCAACTCAAACGCTTGGCTGTAAAGCTATCGGTATTGAATTACCTGATCTTGAACACACAACTATAGGATATAATACATATATATATATATATATATATTTTACAAAAATCAATAGCATTGTAAAAACATACAATGTATCATTGACATTGGGTGGATATTGGGTGGATATCGTTAGCCCTCACATCGAGACAAAAATACAAAGACAAGAAAATTATTATCCACCTGTATTGAACCCAAAAATTTCTTATGATACACTCAACAAAATTACTCGATTCTGATTGGACAAGAGGAGTACAATTAAATCCCAAATTGGACTCTGTAGAGTCCCAATTAAGTTGCTCTATATTTTGTTGAGTGTATTATAAACAAAAAATCACACAATCTTCTAGTACAATTCAGAATTTATAGATACTCATACCTATAAATTCCAAATTGTAAGTTCAAGATCGTGCGATTTCCTATACTAATAAGTTTTTATCATCCAACAGGTTTTACTTTTTCGCAAAAGGAGGCTTCAAAATGAATGTTTTTTTTTTTNTAGGCGAGTATAATTAAAGAACTTTCAAAACATTACGAGTGTCTATTAATTCCAAATTGTACGAGAAGATCGTGCGATTTCCTATACTAATAAGTTTTTATCATCCAACAGGTTTTACTTTTTCGCAAAAGGAGGCTTCAAAATGAATGTTTTTTTTTTTCTCTTTTACATGACTCAAAATCACTTTTTTACTGTACAAAATAACCTAGAGTAAAATTATCGCAGGATATTCATACTCACTTCAGGCTTTCTCTTGTGATATTTGTACTCCACTTAGTATAGCTGGAGAATAAGCACTATATACACAATGGTTTTGAGTAGCATACCATAGAATATACAACAAGTCACTTGTATTATTCATTGTACACACGAACATTCAAGTGTGTCTTTACTAAGAAAATACGAGTGACAAATGGGATGTTCCATGGTGCAATACCAGGRCTTAAGATAATGGCCGGTAAGTTGCTGGTGATGATGCCTGGTCAAAGTTTTAACTCAGTCATACCTTGTTTCTGGCTCAGTATTACTGGTCAAAATGACCAGCAAGGCAAAGATTTGACCAGCCAAGTTCCAAATTATTCTGGAYGGACATTGTCCAATGTCCAGTCTTTATTTTAATTCCTAACCACGAGAAAGCATTATATTTTCAATCGTGTGTGATACATTCTAATAATCATATTRTACTAAATATGCTATACAGTAATCTTCTTGCCATTGGCCTCCTTGGTTGAACATGGTCATCCCTTCGTGTCATCTTCCCTACTGAATAAAGAGAAAAAAAGAAAACCCTTCAAGCTCTTCTTCTTCACTTTACAATGTGTAGTTCCTGAAATCATCCACACCCACCCCACAGAGGAATTAGGAATTTCTGAAGAGTAGGGGGTCAGAAAAAGAACAAAAATTACAGAGTTTGTAWGGAAGAAAATTGGAATTTCCGGGGGGTAGGGGGTGTCTTAAATAAATTCCTCGGTGAGGGGGGTACAGATAGTTTTTGGAACTACGCAATAGCAAAAAGGTATAATCTGTGGGGGTTTGGATTTAATTAGAACACCCACCCCTCCCTAGGGATAAAATAACTTACACAGATGCTTTCAATAGTACATGTATTTTAGAGAGGGTAAAGTGGTGTTCCCGATTAGTGCACACATGGTATGCTAGAAGCTGGACACGTTAGTAAATTTACGTATGACTAGGTGGGTAGGTGGGTAGGTAGGTAGGTGGGTAGGTAGGTAGGTAGGTAGGTAGGTAGGTAGGTAGGTGGGTGGGTAAATGGGTAGGTAGGTGGGTAGGTAGGTCGGAAGGTCGGGTGGTTGATCAGTAGGTCAGTAGGTAGGTAGGGTGGTAGGTCAGTAGGTAGGTAGGTCAGTAGGTAGGTAGGGTAGGTAGGGTGGTAGGGTGGTAGGTCAGTAGGTAGGTAGGGTGGTAGGTTGGTAGGTAGGTAGGTAGGTAGGTAGGTAGGTCGGTAGCTCGGTAGCTCGGTAGCTCGGTAGCTCTGTAGCTCTGTAGGTAGGAAGGTAAGTAGGGTTTTCAGTCGGAGCAAATTCCAGCACTCACCTCTCCCTGATGCATTCCATAAACAATAGTTCAAAATGATATACACAGATGCCTTAGCAACACCCTTGGGAGTACATGGGGGGGGGGGTGTAGGGGTGGGAGCATAATACTTTACAAATTCCAGCACCCACCCCTCCCTGATAATAAAATTTAAAAGCAATACTTCAATGACTTACACAGAAGCCTTCATAACCCCCTTAGGAGTACACACTTTAATCGGTGGGTAAATTTTGGCATCACGCACAGGCGCCAGTAGAATCTCACAGCGTTGGTGGATGGTATTCTCCATCCTTCTCTCCTGCTCAGGGAACTTGTACTTCAAGTAGGAGTTCATAGCAAATGGAATGTGGTTGTAGGAATCTTCCATGAGAAGGATTGTCATGAATTTGCCGTTCTTGTTGCAGCAGTCATTAGCAAAGAAAGTCATCATGAAATCTGAAACATGACGAAGACCTTTGGTGTCCTCTGAAAAAGAAAAAGAAAAGAAGCATATTCAATAAATGTCAAAAACCTTCAAATTTTATCAATACCCTAAAACAACCTCTGGGCTAATCTAAGTCAGGGCATGGCTAACTCACAGATTGAACCCTGAAACAACCTTTGGGCTGATCTAAGTCAGGGCATGGCTAACTCACAGATTAAACCCTGAAACAACCTCTGGGCTGATCTAAGTCAGGGCATGGCTAACTCACAGATTGAACCCTGAAACAATCTCTCGGCAGATCTAAGTCAGGGCAAGGCTAACTCATAAATCAAACCCTGAAACAACCTCTTCGCTGATCTAAGTCAGGGCACGGCTAACTCACAGATCAAACCCTGAAATAACCTCTTATTTGATCTAAGTCAGGGCATGGCTAACTCAAAAATTGAACTGGAATTTAGCACGTTAGGTTTTCTGGAGAAACTAGTGAATTCAGGAATTGAACCCAAGACGGCAGAGTATTCAAGGAGTATTCAAGGAGTATTCAAGGACTATTCAAGGGGTATTTAAGGGGTACTCAAGGGCCCAAAAATGATTTTTTGAGGAGTATATGGCCAACTTTCCAAGTCGTTTCCAGTACCCCTTTATAAAAGGGAAGTATTGTTGGTATTATATTTCACGTAAAAATTTTCAGATGACTAGATGACTAGAGTTTAAGGAGTAGCGCGAACCCTGTGCCCATTAAACCCTTCAGTTGTCATTTCACCTACTGACCATTTTGCCCATGCATTTTGCCCATGCATTTTGCCCACTTTAAATTGTCTAACATATGAAAGTTGTTAATGCTTACCGTCTTTAAATGCTTGTGCCTTGCGCACAGGGGTGTCAAAAATCTCCTTTAATTTTTTTGAAACGCATAAGAAGACAAAGTCAGCATGTTTGACTTGTTGCATTTCATAGCGGAACCGGCCCACTTCCATGACCTCTTGTGTGTCTGTAGCAAACAAATGGCATTCATATCCCTTTTGAGAGAATTTCATATACATTTTCAGGGCTCTTTGATATACTTCTTCTTCTTCTGGACAACACACGATGTAGATCCGTTTGAATGAATTATCTGTGAGAAGAATACAGATGTTTTATGGTTGTTCATATGAAAATATGAAAATATTTTATAATACCAATGCCCAACGTCAACAAACTACTGACAACCTAACAACACCCTACTGACAACCTACTAATACAATACTGACCACCTACCAACACCCTACTGACCACCTACCAACACCCTACTGACCACCTAACAACACCCTACTGACAACCAACAAGCACCTTACTGACCCTCTACCAACACCCTACTGACAACCTAACAACACCCTACTGACCACCTACCAACACCCTACTGACCACCTACCAACACCCTACTGATAACCTACCAACACCATACTGACAACCTACCAACACCCTACTCACCACCTACCAACACCCTACTGACAACCCAACAACACCCTACTGACAACCTACCAACACCCTACTCACCACCTACTAACATTCTACTGACAACCCACCAACACTCTACTGACAACCTACCAACACCCTACTCACCACCTACTAACATTCTACTGACAACCCACCAACACTCTACTGACAACCTACCAACACCCTACGGACAACCCATTAACACCCCACTGATCACCTGCCAACCGCCTATACAAACACTCTAAAGGATTGAGCATATACCTCCTGAATGGTAGCCTGATTCATAACCCATGGGTGAAGCAGGGGAACTGGGAGAAATCGAAAGTGAGTCTTCAGAACTAGAACTGACTGGTCTTTGAGCCTTTTCTTCTGAAACTGTAAGATGTAAATTTGGTTAAACTGAGTAGCTTGCAAGATCAACCAAAACATAGGCAACCCAGCAAATTCAGTCCTTGACAAATAATTTTTGCAAACATTAAGCCCATAAAAAGCCCATAAAACTTATTTTTAATGTCAACAGCACTTCCCAATCATAAGGAAATAATAGAATAAAATAAAATAAATAGAGTTTACCAATTTCCTGTCATGACAAAACAGTGTTTTGGTGAAAATCAATWAAGAAACTGCCCAGCATTTTATTGCCTCCAAACACTAAAACTGACTTTTCCACCCTATTCCTGTAGAAAGTGCCCTGACGGGTGGGGGGTACTCTTGCCCGTTTAAGGTAGGAATGTGCCGCTGAGCCCTCTGAACCCTGTTCCAGAGCAAAATCACTGAAATTCATACCCTGTTCTAGAGCAAGGTCGCTGAAAACCATACCCTGTGCCGGTATTGCAAAAATAGATATCCTGTTCCAGAGAGGAGAGCGTGTGATTTCATATACCCTGTCCTAGAGCAAGCGCGATTTTATATACCCTGTTCCAAAGTAGAATTGCTGAAAACCATACCCTGTTTGGTGGCAAATATAGGAGAGTACCCCTCCCCCTGGGAGAAAGTGATGCAAGAATTCCAGACATTACCTATTAATGGCGACAGATTTGGCTTTAATGTACAAGCCTGTTCACAGTAAAATCCTTTAGCTGTGGCCGACGTAGCACCAGTATCTGCTTCAGATGCAGCATTTTTTTCAGTGCCAGCATTTTGGTTGCTATTAGTCTTCTCATTCTTGGCTGATTTGTTTTTCTTAAACATGGCAAAGCTTAAGAATCTCTTTTTATGAGTTCCCGTGTCTGGCTCTAAAGACTGTGATCTCTTAAAAAACCGAGATTTCTTGGATTTGGACTTGGTTTTATGGATTTTCTCATGTGGCACCGATGTAGATCTCTCATAGTCTCTATTACCATTCTCAGGCCAGTCTAATTCCTTGATTATTGAGTCACTCGGACATCGCCTTGGTTGTGACAAAGGTTTGGTCCTATTTATTGGTGAGTGCTCTGTATGCATTGATGTGGTCATTTCGGTACTCTTTTGAGTTGAACTTGAAGCCTTAGGAGACCCCACATCCTCAATAGTGTAAGGACACAGAAGACTATCCACTGCAGCTTCTGACTGTAAAGATGTTTGGGGAGATGAAGTGTCCCTTTGTAAAGATGAATCGGTGTAAGAAGTGGAAAGAGAATTAAGTCCTGAGGAGCAAAAGCTTGAATCTTCTGTTGAACAAAACACAGGACTAGAAGTATTTCCTCTAGTTTCTGAGGAACTGGGAAATACCCTGTCGTCTCTTGAGGAATCAATTCCTTCATCATCTTTATCTTCCACAAATCTCTTCTTAGACTGCTGACTATATTCTGAAAAATAATATAAAAAAGAAAAAAATCATTAATATCTTTTCAGAAAATTAGCTTGGTCTTAATTTTAATTGAATTTCTTCTCTCAACCACTTATCTATAAGAGTTGTTTTTTTCAACTAATATGCAAAAAAAAAGCATTTACAGTGCAAATATTACTGCAGTCACTTAAATTATTTGTTAAATTTTTTGATATTACTTAAATCATTGCCACAAAGTTAGCAAAAATATACGTTGTTAATGGAAAAATACTGGACTTCTAAATTAGTAATGTCTGTATTTTAGCCATTATCTGCATTTTATGGTATAATCTAATATCACAACAATCCAACATAACTCCGGTTAGAGTAAATATTCAAAGTGAATTCTACTTTACATGTATAGTTTAAGAATCAATCACAAGTTTCAGTATTTCAGCGTAATAATTGTATCAAGTCATTCAGTGTAATATTGCAAAGTCATTGAAAATTCCCTTGAAATATCCAAAGATTAAATTGATCTTTTTATAGTGTTTTTAAAGGGCATATGACATGAAAAAAATTTAATGTTAAAATTGTGTAGTTTATTGGTATTAATAAGAATATCACAGTTAAATAATTTGTTTCAATTTATTTCTTTAGAAAATCAAGAAAATTTAGCACAAGTTGTGACGTCATTTTGTTTACAAGTCTCCAGATTTAGTTGCAAATACACGAAATATGTTTCCCAACATTTGAAGAGTACTATGTAAGCTATCAAATGAAGCTGAATAGAATACGCCTTTTATTGTTATTTTATACGAATCACAATTTCTATTTAGCGCATTTCTACCATGAATCTAGAGTACGTGTCAACAAAATGACATCACAAATTGGGCTTAATTTTCTCACATATTTCAAGAAATAAGCTTTTGAAACAAATTTCATTATGATATATTAATTATTACTAACAAACTTTACATTTTAAACGATGAATTTTTTTTGTGTCATATACACTTGAAAGTTTCTGTGCTCCAGATGACAAGGTGTTTCAGATAGCTGAAAAGATCATTCATAAAAGTTTGACATCATATCAAGCTTTCTTCGATAAAAGCTTGCATGCTTGAGACTTGATTTAATACAATAGACATGGTGTAAATAGAATACCGGAAGCTAATCCTGCCTATAGCTGGTATTGTTTAGGGTTTAAGAAATGTGAAGAGAAAGTACTGCTTTAACAAAATTATATCTACAATGCTTATTGCTTTTATTGGCTTAGATGGCCGAGCCAACGTCAAATTCAAACACACTAACTTCAAGTTTTCATCCTGGATTTCAAAACTACTTACTAGTTGTTCTTTATGTATGCACTAATGATTTTAACCAAAACGCAATGAAATTTTACTTTGTTGCAACCTACAGTAGTGTCTGACTTTTGACTGCTTGCTGATGGCTGAAACGTTAGCCAAATCTATCCACACTTCATGATCATTAATAAGTAACAAACGAGCTAAATTAACTACTGGGGCAGTATATCATGCAGAAGCCAAGCATCTACCAACAATGTCTAATGATTGCCAACAGCATATATATGAAGCGTCTGCATTCATAATAAAAGATATGCAATGCGTAAGGCATCTTTTGAGTGCCGAGAGTTAGATAACGATCACAGGCCAACATGTTTTCCCTCTATGAAGGGATCCCATTGTATCCATATAAAAAACGGCAACAAATTAGACATAAATTATTATCACAGATCTTAATTTGTCAGTTTTCAATTTGAAACCCCATGCGTAGTCGAAAGACAACATTACTTTGAAGATAAATGTGAAAAACTCTAAAATGTAATAACAAGAATCGGAATCTTTTAACTTAACGATTAGCTTATGGATGAGTTTCCGTTCAAACATCCTCACTGCTCACACATAAATACATCTAGTAAAATAAAAGGTAACTGGAGCAGAAGACAAAAACCATAGTACAGAGTGAAAGAAACCAAAAAAATAATGCAATCAGCTTCTCGTCTCATGTAATTTTTCTTATGCATCACTATAAAAACATGAATTTGAGTGAGTTCTTAAATTTAGAAATTTTTGTTCTCAGCAACAGAATACTGAATCAAGAGTGTAGTTTTTCTCTTAGCTAGCTCATGTGACTGTTCTTATTTGAAGAAAATGATATGATATGGACCACAATGAAAACTACTGGTTCGCTTGTAATTGTGTTTATCCAATAAAGTCTAAAAAAATAAAAAAAWAWAAAAAAATTTTGAAATTCCACATCTTGATCGTGTGAGAATCAAATTCAAGGGTGATATATTATGCATATATACTTTATATATTTACTATAATTATCCTACTGTTACTTTAAGTAGCTGAAAAATTATAATTTGTCGTGAGTAATGAATCAGAAAAATAAGAGCTCCTTTTCTTTTCTTTTTTCCTTTTATTTATTTATCAATATTTTTCTATTAAATATTTCATATTTTTTTGTACAGGAAAGTACAATTAGTTTAACAAATTGCAAAATACATTTTAAATTATTTGATAAGAAATGCTTTGTATTTTTGTCCAACCCACGCAGAAATAAATGAGTAAGCGAAAAATCAAGGTTAAAACCTGTTCAAATACGCCGTGTTTTTCAACCCCTTCTTGATCTAATTAATAAAGGTTACCTGCTCTTTAGTAACAATTAAACATTAAAGGATGTCTGTATTATCCTCGTATTACCCTTTCAAGGTACTGTGAATTGAAAAATAGGATTTTTTTCGGAGTAATCAAAGCAAAGGTTTACCATTCTTCTCCAAGACGCACCAGACAGYTCTCTTCACAAAAGCCAAGCAAAAGTTCACTTCGCTTCAGTAATTTTACAAAAACAAATCAACGCCTAAAATTCCAAAAACTTACTTTCTAAGTCTTCTTTTATGTCCTCTAGGCATCCATAGAGCTCCAGCGATAGGAGAACTTGAACAAGATCCCGAATTTTCCCGTTTTTTTTGAATATCCAGTCGTTCAACATCCCTAACGCGGCATATGAGCCAGCGAAGTTCGCGTAATGTCCAGATATTTCAAGATTACTAAAACCTAATTCATCAGCGACATTTCTCCAGCTAACCAATGGCCCATTAATCGATAACTGCATAGCTAACTTTTCCACAACTCCATAACGAAGTATATTCGCCGGGGCGTCTAGAACAAATGATTCTTCGTACTCCGCCATCTTTTCTTCGACCGAAGAAGCGCACGCCATTTTGTGTTGCTTTGTCAAATCTCAATACAACTTATTCAATACCTCAAAATGCTATCTTGGGCATTTTTTGCGGAGAAATCCTTCAAGGACTCTTCAAGCTCAGCCTGTGAGCCCTAAAAGTTATAAAGACAGCATTCACAATGTTTTTCGTGGAATTTTAAGTGTTTTTTTGAGCGTTCTTCATACAAACATCACGATCCATAAAGCAAGGATCATATTTATAAAATCCAACCAATCGGAAACATTGTTATATCCGAGTATTCTAAAGTGTGTCGCGGTTGGTTGATTTTTTTTAACTTCCTGTCTGACATTACGACCTTTATATACGTAAAAGTC